CCCCCCCCAACGGAAAGAAATATCGATCGGTCAAATTTTCGGGACAAAAAAAAAGTGCTCTTATGATAATCATCATATACCCAAGTGGCGTAGCGTGTCTCCAGTAATTTAGGGGCGCTTGCATCATTGGGGGGGGGGGGCACCTTTGTCTCACAAGGTTGGAAATGGCCATTATCTTTAGAGGTTTGGGGGTCGTCATCTTTTTTTCTTCTTCTTACGTTTCCTTTTCCTCTCTTTCTTCCATTCTTTTGTCTTCATTCTTCCCTTTCTCCCCTACCCGTTCTCTTGTGTTCCGATTCCCGACTGAGCACCTGCCCCCGTACCCTCAAGGCATGTACGACACACTGCGCTAACGAAAGATCTTGTGATAATTATGTTTAGTTCTAACGCACTTTTTGTTTTCATAAGCAATATAAATGTTTTTCTACATTGCATTATTGTTTTACCTCCAACCGAGACCAGTTATATGATATCTTTCAGTTTTATGATATCTACCAGGAATCGAATGACTATAGATCAAAACTTAAAAGTTGATGTTGGGTTAAGATTGAAAAAATGGGGGTAAAAGTGTGTCCGATCAACTTCCAAATGGTTCCTATTTATTGTAAATAAACAATGAACACATTTATTAAACAATATTTTCATTGAGTATAATGTTTGTCACAAAATGATTATAAAAAAAGAAGAATTAAAGCAAAATATATAAATTTAAACTGGAAAACTTCACCTATAAACTGCTCACGGCCATATAGGGCGTTTCAATGCCAACCCATATAATTATTTCATATTGTGTTTTTTTTTCGCTTTTCTGACGATCAGTTTGTTTAAAAGCTAAAGAATCCTGATTTCATCAATCTTGCAATCATTCAACAATCAGACAATGATATCAAATTGTTTTGTGTCAGTATAAAGCCTTTATTGATTCAGTGTCGTGTGTTACCATAAACATTTCATTATCAGAAGTCTTAAGTATATTGACATGTAAACAGGGGAGTCGCTAGAACTTTTTCTGTGGGGGGGGGGGGGGTGTAGAGCACACCGTTTACCGACAAAACTAGCCACCAATTACCGACAGATATATGCCAATGTCTACAAATTTAACCCTTAAACCCGGGGCCGGGGCTAATTTCCCTACGAACTATCTATACCTCCGCATGCGCACATGGTCATTTTCCTTGAGGGTTTATTTCATCAAGACTAGACAGCAGGGGCGGCGATTTCTTTTCATGACCTGGGGGGACGAAATGCGAGGAACGAGGGAGGAGTGACGTAATGAGCCAAAACATTTTTCTGAGGGGGAAGAAAAAACTCCGCATCATCATCGCTCTTACATGTTACCTGCAGGCCCCGCGGAACCGTTTTTCAAAGTTGGAGGGGGGGGGGGGATAAAGTATTTGCGATCAGATAGAGCAAAGCAATTAAGTTGGATGTAACTTTGGCGTGGGGTCCAGGGGCAAAGCCCCGGCGGGGGTAATAGGGAGGAGCCCCATGAAGCTCAGAGTTTTTAGGCATTTAATAAGGGTCAGATGAGCATATTTCGATACCTTATTTGTGACACTTGCATGCAGGTCACTAATCGTACTGGGGTCCAGGGGTGAAGCCCCCAGAAGCTCAGCGGTTTTAGGCATTTAATTACGATCAGATGAGCATCCAGGGGCCGCCTTATAGGGCCCTTGGTGGGGTTAAGTGGGCGGAGCCCCCGTAAGCTCAGGGTTTTAGGCTTTTGAATATGGTCAGATGACCATCCAGAGGCCCGCTTAGGGCCCTAGTGGGGTCCAGGGGGCGGAGCCCCCGGAAGCTCAGGTGTTTTAGGAATTTAATTATGGTCAGCTGAGTAACCAGGGACAAGCCTTAGGGCCCTTAGTGGGGTCCAGGGGGCAGAGCCCCGGAAGCTTGGGGAAAATCATGCCATTTCAGTAACATTTGTAAATTAGTAACTGGTATCGAATTAGAAATAAACCACGTTTGATTTTTATCAGGGGGGGGGGGGGGCTGCCCAAAGCACGAGTGAGTGAGCATAGTGAACGAGAGGGGTCAAGGTAAATTATATTCCTTAGCAAAACTATAGTATGAAAACAAACAAAATACCTGTTTCACACTTCACTTTTCTACAATATTAATTGTACATTTTGAAGGATATTATGCGAGGGAGCATAGTTCTCGAGCCAGAAGATTATTGCATTTTTATTTGTCTAAACGCTGCACTCTTGGGCCCTCCAAAGTCTAATAGTGTGTTGCAGTCTTTAGTCAGTATTTGCTGTACATTATTTTTGTATACTTTTTCAAATCTTCCGGGGGGGAGACGTGTCCCCCCCCCCCCGGCCCACCCCCCCCCCCCCCCCGGATCGCCGCCCCTGCTAGACAGCCTCGTAGCTTTCATGGGTTAAAAATGTGCAACAATGGTGATACGGTGTGACGTGATCAGAAAGAGCGCTGCGCTTGTACACAACATACTCTTCCGGGTTCTGAGCTCAGTGCATGCGGGGCGACTTATGAACCCCTTTTTGTTTGTTGCTGATTATAGGTTGACAATAACGATGACATTTGACAATGATTTTTAATGATTGCTGGTGAAACTTCGAGAAAATACAAGTGTTATAGTTGTAGTCTCTCTCGAAGTCGTCTCAGCGGATAAAAAGTCGCAGTTCGATCGCAGGAAAAAAAATTGCCGGCCGACCGACATTATACATCTCACGGAGCTTCTGCATTGATATATGGATCGAGCGAGAATACCGACACAGCTGGCCCGACACGGCAACATAATTATGCGTATCTGTCTTCCTCCCTCGACGAGATGACTCCACCTCCCCCCCCCCCCCCCCCCTCTCTCTCTCTCTCCTACTCCCACCAATCCTCTCTCATGATCTTACCCCCGTCAGTCTCTCCTCTCTGTTACCCCCTCCCCCCCATTTCTTTTGTTTCGTTTTCTCTCCCCCCCCCCCCCTTTGTTTCCTTTTCCTTCTTTTCTTTCTTTTCTCTCTTTCTTTTCTTTTCCTTTCTTTTCTTTCTTTCCATTTCATTTTTCCCTCCCCCTTTTTTTCATGTTCCCAAGGGCAGCGCAATTTCACCGACAATTATCCTGATAGGTGGGGGGAGGGGTGTCGCACCCACTGAGACCGACGCCCCTGCATGTAAATGTTACTGCATTATAATGTATGTTAATCTTGTTTTTCATGAATCAAGCTTGTACTCATTGTAAACGTCAAGTCAGGAGTATATGCGTATTATGTTGGGTGTGTGTGGGGGGGGGGGGAGGGGTTGGGGGCACGGTACCCCCGATCTCTGCCCTATCGTGAACCCCTGCTATACACTAATTCTTGCTCCATCGTCAATGCTCTTTTCCGTAGCTTTAAAGGTACATACTGAATGTGTATAATCTTGCGTTCATCAGAACATAAATCCGAAATCAAAGATACTATATCTAGCCTATATCTATATTTTACCTCTACACCATACAGATATTATAATTCTCTGGCTGTTCAAAGCAAGTTCCCTCATGTGAGAAAGAGTCCTGGAAAATCATGCCATTTTAGAAACATTTGTAAATCACTGGTATCGAATTAAAAATAAAGTTTAACCACGTTTAAATTAGATTGGCAACTGCCCCACCCCAAGCCGCCCCCCCCCCCCTATCGGTAGGCCAGTGATGGTGAGGTAGTTTTGGGTTGATGTCTTGCAAAACTGTCCTATAGATCCTAGTTTTGTCTCCGTGTAACTATTAGGGTTCCCTGTCCTTAATTTGCCAATGTCTTTATAGTTTTGTAGGATAAATGTCTCAAGAGAAGATTCTGGGAATGAACGGCTGTATAGCTACATACTCTTTTAGTTCTTACTAAGTAGCATCGAGATTATCCATGTAATAGCATGCTCCCCCTTTTTTGGAAAGAATAATGTACTTACAAATTAAAGAGTTCGTAAATAACAATAATTTTAAACGAAACGCTATATTTTCATCTACAGCATAGTTCTGAAAATCATAAGAGCCTGTAAAAGTCAAATCAGGAATTTTAGAAAACATTGATTTTTTATCAATATTTATCCTGGCTATAGAATTATAATTTGTTGGTTGTTTTTTTCTAAATCGGAATTGCAGGCAGCCAGCATCGATAACAAGGCATTTCCTTCAAATCCTGTGAAGAAATATCCGGGTGTTTATCCAGAATCGCCTTGAAAGAAGGGTGGGGGCGCAAATTACAGTGCAAAATGTTTGACAAAGGCGATATGGCCTGGTTTTTTCTTCTCCCCCTCCGATATATATATTATATATATATAGGGCTTTAAATTAGCTCCCATGGGGAGAGAGCAAGAGAGCAAGAGAGAAAGAGGCAGAGAGAGCGGGAGAGATAATGGTGGAGAGGGAGGGGTGCAAAGATCCCCCCACGGCATGATTATTTACAGACCGCCATCATTCTCAAGGCGGCCTCCTCGACTTGCCTTCACCATCCGGAGGATCCAGATGCCTTGTGTCATTGGAGACGATTAGGGGGAGGGGGGGGGGGGAGGGGGGGAGGGGGGAGGGGACAGGGTATCATGACATGTCATTCAGGTTCAAGCTTTACTGATTTTAATCCAAACAGATAGGATCATGCTCAATTTGTGTACATCTTCGCTCGAAGATGTCGTTGACGAAGCTGTTCATGATGACCATGGCCCGACTGGAGATGCCGGTATCTGGATGAACCTGCTTGAGGAGGAGGAGTCAAGAAAGCGAAGAAGCCAGTGAAGAAAACGACTGAGAAGAAAGAGAAGAAGAATTTAATGTCAAGGTTATAGTGAAACTTCTTATTTCAACAGCTATCGGTTGCCTGTGTGTGTTTCAGGGCAGGAGGGTGGGGGGGGGGGGGGGCCTTATTGTCACCTCTTCCTTCTTTATAATAATAATAATAATAGTTTATTTTTATAAAGCGCTTAATACAAATGCAAATACAAAAGTGCTTTACAAACATACTATTACCCCGGTCATTGGATTCAGTGCTTGCCCGCACACACCCTATCGTCCCTGTTTTCACGAAGTGACGGTAGTGAGGAAAATCGCATACATTTTCACTTTTGATTTTTTTGCATTTTTGGACATCATTCACTAACATCTTGAACCTCACAAAATTTCAGATCATAATAATGTCTAATTATGTCACTATGACGATGACGTAAACAAGAAAATGCATAGCAAAAGGATTTTCTGTTTTCACGAAGTGACGGCCAAGTACGCGCTTAACAGCCGTCAATTCGTGAAAACATCGTTTGCTCTTTTCCTGCTTTTAATATTTTCACGAAGTGACGGTAGTGAAAATTTCGCAGTTTGGAACAGTCACAGACCATGAAAAGGTGAGTTTTTAAACATTTTTTAAGGTAAATCAATGTGGTACGCTCTTTAATTCATTCTGATTCTTTGTAAGCCATAAATATGTCCATGAGCACAGAAATGTGTGAAAAATACACCGCCGTTCCACATTTCGCCCCATATACTTATTTTCATGTAAGTGAATAAAGGAGTGAAGAATCATGTGATCCAAAACTAAAAAGATCAACTTAGACTTAATAAATATGCATCTAGACTAAATAACTTAAGTGGAGAGTCTTTCTTATTTTGCTCCACATCAAATATTAATGCTATAAGGTTCTTTTTATATCTGCTTAAGTTATAAATTTGAACAAAGTTTTACAGAAAGTTAGAGAGTAGACTCTAGAGACTAGAGTTTTACTTTTATTTTGTCAGTAATTTACTATTTAGCTAATTATAAATTTGATTTAGAGTCCAGAACTCTAGTTACTCTAGATCATCATTTTATAATTATCAGTTTATGTCAGCCACTACTCATCAATCTAGAATCTAGAGGTGAGTAGATCAGGATCTAGACAAGACTGAGACCTTTCTTGTAAGGCGCGCGTGCCTGGGTTTAAGAAATTTCAGGGCTCCAAGCCCAAGGCCAACATCAACATGGCCAAGGGCAAAGGGAGTTATGAAAATCATCATCATGCTGAGCTGAGATGACCTGGGATGTAGCCCCTCCTGGTTAACTGTTAGGGAATTCAATGATTTGCCTTTCAAGCAAAGAAGGACATGGATGAACATTTAATTAAAAATTGAAAATTAGATCGGTCCTGCCCTGAAAATGAATAAATGGCACCATCCGAAAAAGGAATATTTTTTTTTTAGACTGAAGTAATCATGAGTAGTCTACCTTTTGGGGAACAATGTCCACATGTTTAGCTTAGTTTCTCTCATTATCTGTACTCTGTGTCTGTTATATTCAAAGGCAGCACTTTACTTTAGTACCCTTGGTCCCTCACCCTATACAAAAATTATTTTAAACAATTGTTCTTGATACCAGCAAATGTTGCCCAACTCCACTTCGTGTTTTAAAGAATTTTCCAAGCAAGCACCATATACCAGATGATGTACATGTCTCACTACCTACACTTCAGTGGTAATGAAATTATGATGATGTTTTTGCTTTCACTTAGTTTCAGATGCAGTAGATACAATTTGCACTTATATGAAGAAAGCACTGGGAAAGTACATCTACTTTTCAAGAATGCCACAGGCCAGACACAAATCCAGGTGAGAATAGTTTCATGATCTGTTCAAGAAAATCACACTTTAGCAGCAAAGTACTAAAGTACACTCACTGCTTATGTGCATAGGGGTAGTTGTTGTTTGGTAGGGGCAATTGGAAAATTCTATTTTGGGGTAATAGGGGCAATTGAAAACTTCTGTTTGGGGTCAGTTATGCCTATTAATTAATTTGATGTACAAAAGATAATATTGGATTCATTTCCTTACCTCTGCTTGCAAAAAAATGAAAGAAAATAACTTGTAATTATTTCTTTCATTCTACACAATTAGATTGGATACAGGGACCGACATGCTGGTAAGATGGGTCCTTGATAATTCACTGAACACAGAGCTGCAGATGTGACTCGGCATAGTGACCTAAGAGTGGGAGCGGTATGGAACCGTTGAAGCAATTCACCGAACACTGTTGAAGCAATTCACCGAACACAGTCAGAGCTGCATGTGTGACTTGGCATGGTGACCCTTAAAGTCTCCTGACGGCTCCGATTGCGATTCTGATGATGACCCATTGTCTATGCTTGTGAGCGAGTCAAAAGGTATCTTTTTTCCTTCTTGATTGTTTCCCAATAGTTAAAATTTAAGATATTCTTAATTGTTTTTAATGCTTAGGTCTCTTAGTTAAGGGAATGAGTGGTCCTATCGAGGTCAGCATCTAATTTTTTTAAAATCCTTATCAAAAATTTCCAATACTAAGGTGATACCACATAAAGTATTTAATTTATTAAGAGACTCTCTAAAATTGGGTACCAAAACTACACATAATAATTTTGCCCAATCATAATGCACTGTAAAGTTTCCCTTTCATAATTGAAATTCTGATAATGATTTTTTATTGATTTTGACTTGGACTTTTTTATTATGATTTTTCTTTCTCTTATTTCCTTTTACTTTCAAGCAGTCTAGATCAAGGATCTTCTCTGCTTCAACCAATATCGCTTGGATGACATTATGTGTGAAGAAACTTGAAGAACTTGTGTTGAAGGGCATGCTTGAGAAACTAGAATCAATTACATTGATCGTTTTGGCAATGCTTCAATGTTTCAATACCTCGATCTCTCTTTTATACTGTATGATTTTAAACATTTTGAATATCATAAATAAAGCAAACTCCACTCATAATTGTAATTGTGTGTACTAGTAATCACAATGAAATGGATTGATTATAAAATCAATGAATTGATTTAAAGCAAACTGGTAACATTTTCCATGAGTTCTGAAACAATTAACTGAATGGTCGTACAGGCGTCAGTTTTCTGTTACAGTATTGTAATGAACTCCTGCAAACATAAATCTTTAATATTTAAATGTATAGCTCAGAACTGCTATTTATCAGGTATACCTACCTCAATCAGTAATGCATATTAGAGTTTTCGATTCCAGTTCCATGAATCCTCATATCGTATCTTTGTATTGAAGAATTTGTTTATCCATTTTCTTTAAATGTTTGTATTCATTAGAACATGAATATAAGTTACATTTCCACAATTGGTTTTTCTCTCAAAACACAATGTTACTAGTTCACATTTAATGTTTTAATTTATTACTTCTATAGTCATTCTCATCATAATTGTATTTGGTACTTCAAACTATCCTATAATGATCATACAATATAATGTTGCTGTTTTGAATTGTATCTGTTTGATGAGAAATGAAATTGTTTAGTCAAATTGATATTTCCATGTTTATCATGCATTGTTTAGCTGATAATAGTTTAGTCAGAGATTACGTGTTTACCTGGTTGAAGACAACCTTTAAGCATTGGTAAACTTTGTAGCGTTTGAGACTGTGTACTAAACTTTATTGAAATACCCTAGAAAGAGATTGTGTAAACTGACTTGGATCTGATACTCTACTCACAAGATATTTATGAAAAACAGTGATGAACAAAAAAGTAACGATGATGATTATATTAGTCATTTTTCCCATTGAAAAACTTCATGATACATGCAGTACATGTATGTCGAGCATTTTGTATGTCACATGTGGCATTTACTCGCTATGATTGCTGAATAAACATGATAACCAAGTCGTATATAAAGAATTAGATAAAGACATTTTAGCATATTTACAAGTACTGTATAATGAATGAAATAACCTTCGTATTCCGTGGATGTATAACTGATGAGTCTTTTCCACAAAACCCTAAATGTACATTTCAAAATACAATACAGTATTGATGATAATTGATGATGATATGTTTGGTATGAATTATTTAATATTTTTGAATTTATGCTCCATTTTCCACTTGCTGTTCGGGTTCCAAATGTTTGAATTAAAACTGCTCAGTCAAAATTCATTTTCTGTGTTTATATTGCAGAGTTGAGTAGTTAACTACAGATTATGGTCAATTATCAATACTGAATCTTTTTCCTTCATTCAAAAATATTTCTTAACATATTTGCTTTATTTCCTATCTGAAAAAATATATTTAGCTAGGCCCCTCTCTAAAATTTTAGAAATTCCTCATAGTAATAGAGTAGCAAAAGCCCTGATATCACTCGCAGGAATTTCAACAAGAAATGGCAGAATTTGTGTGATATTAAGGGGAGATGGAGGGGGTAAAGAGAGAGAGAGAGAGGGGGGGAGAGAGAGAGAGAGAGAGAGAGGGGAGACTACTTGAACGTGTTCTTAAGTGGAAAGTATATAGTAACTTTAGTGCAATCTTTAGTCCCTATACATACAATGTACCTGATAATTAAACCTCAAAGAATATTAAATACATATCCATTTTTAGCTTAAGATTAAAGAGAATAGCTTATTAATCATTTTAAAAGCACTTAGCGCCAATATCCATCTGTGCTATTGATAGTTAATTTATTATGAGCCGTAGCTTCGTGAACAAAAACTGACATCATACATCTAACATCATAATTATACAAAGAAGAAAAGGTGCTCTTATTTTATCCATACATTATATTAAACAAGTAATTTTGCCGTATTTCAGTGTCTATCTCATGAAATTGCTTCACGCAATAAAAATCCCATATGTTTTATACGCGCTCGGCTACGAGCCGTCACTTCGTGAAAACAAAATTCAAGCGTTCTATGTGATTTGTGTTTTCACGAAATGACGGTTAAGTTAAAAGTTCATACAGAGACATTCAGTTTATTCTTATCAATAAAAAAAAACAGCTACCAGCCTACCAAACGAGGAAAATGTACTCTATCTCTCAGTTCGCATTATTTTATATGTACATCAATTAAACAAAACAAAATGCCGTTTTTAGTGTCCATTTCGAGAATTCCATCCACAAGGGAAAAGTCCCATACGTTTTACGCGCGCGGCTACGTACCGTCACTTCGTGAAAACAAAATCAAAGCGTTCTATGCAATTTGTGTTTTCACGAAATGACGGATGTGTTAACAGTCCACACAGAGAAATGAAAAAGCAGCTACAGAAAGAGGAAAATGTACTCTTTCTCACAGTTTGAATTATTTTATCTGTACATCAATTAAACACAACGTTTTGCCGTATTTAGTGTCCATTTCGAGAATTCCATCCACGAGAGAAAAATCCCATATGTTTTACGCGCGCGGCTACGTACCGTCACTTCGTGAAAACAAAATCACGGCGCGTCCTTGAATTTCGTGTTTTCACGAAGTGACGGTAATGTTTACAGCTCATTTCCTCAAAAAATATAAGAAATTATGGAAATATTTAAAGATAGAACTAAACATTGAGATATTTTCAATCCCAGGATATAAAATTTATTTGCCTTTGATAAATTAAAGAGGTTGAGCTTATGGCTCCAACCTTTGAAAGCGATTTATTCAAAACTAACTTTCTTTTAGTTGCGCGCTCTACCGTCACTTCGTGAAAACAGGGACGCTATGTACAATCTCCACTCCCTGGGGAGCATTCCAGCCAGGATTTACTTGACGCTCAGAAACTGTTTGACCAACAATGACGGTCGCATCCTACCGGGTACCCATTTGACACCTGGGTGGAGAGTAGCAAGTGAAGGTTAATATATTGCCAAAGGATATTGTCGTCGGTCGGGATTCGAACCCTCGACCTTCGCATCTCCAGTCCAGCGCCCACGACACTCTCTTTATTCCTCTCTCTGTTTCTCTTTCCATGATTCGAAAGAGGGCACGTACCCCTGTGCCCCTTGTCTACGCCATTGCCTGGTGTCACATGAAGGCTACTGATGCTAGATGTCTAATAATCTTTTGAGGTCTTCTGATCACGATAGATAATAATTATCTGTCTAAACACGATTTAGGACAAACTTCCTATATACTGTCGCTTCATTCTCATCAAACTGTAATTGATTTCCGGCCAACCTTTTCTCCAGTGTTCCTAAATTGACCTTCCACCAAACAAGAATTGGCTACAACTCATTGAAGAGATCATGACGTTGTTTCTTGTCAAAATCAATGGCGGATATAGAAGGCTGCCGAATCGGCCGCTCCCATCCCCCCCCCCGAACTTTTTTGCCTAAAAAGGGGGCAGAGAGAGCAACGGGAAAAGAGAAGAAGGGAGGAAAAGGAGAGAGCGAGAGAGAGAGAGAGAGAAACAGGAAGAACATAAAACATAAATTTACAAATGACTTTTGTATACAGATTACCACTTCCGATGACTTATTTGGCTCGACATGCATATGCCTCTGATGGGTTGGCGGACGAAAGAAGAACTGCAGTAGGACTACGGAAAAAAGTTTAATATTGATGAGAGTTTGTATCGCTCTGAAGGCTCTTGAAGGCTCTTGAAGGCTCCGAATTGCTAAAACTCCTCCGGGGCTCCATCCGACAAGGACACCGCCCCTTCAACCCATCAGAAGCTCTATGGTGGGCCCCGGCCGGCCGGACCTAATTCGTAAAGGTACAAGACTCCAAAGACAACTCTCTGTCGTTAAAAATTGTCCAATTATTTATGTTTTGTTCAAGACGGTTATCTTGAAGGTTCTAAATTGCTAAAACTCGAGACCGTCTAGCTCCAGAACACCCGCGGGGCGTACCCCTTTAGAAAAATACTGGATCTGCGACAGTTTCCATGTTGTGTGCAGGGGCGGCAATTTATTTTTTCATGAGAGGCCGGGGGTGGGGGGGGGGGGGGGGTGGGGGGGAGGGGCGACCTGCGAGTGAATATCTGTATTCTGTTTGTATGCACGGTGATTCCAATATTTACTTGTATAATTATGAAGGATATTGTGCGAGGGAGCGTACGTAGCGTACGAGCGAGAAGATGTGTGCATCAACGCTGCACTCCGAGTTGGCCCTCGATCCATGCAAAGCCTGAAAGTGTGTTGAAGTCTTTATAGTCAGTATTTGCTATGCATTTTTTGTGTGCACTTTTGCAAACTAAGGGGGACATACCACCTAAAAGGATTGAGGGGGACGTGCCCCCCCCCCCACCCCTGGATCGGCGCGGCTGGTTGTGTCGTAGTTGATTTTTTATTTATTCGACTTCAACACAACATTTGCCGACAATATGTTTGGGCTCACAAGTGGCTCCTAACACTTAAGAAATTTAGAATATTAACCCATCCGCCTACAAACTAGGTATTTTGTGTTGTTGCTCAGTATTTAAGAGGGGAGTGTTGATTAAAATAATAAAAAATTGGTGCTCTATTCCCCCCCCCCCCCCCTTTGAGCAAACGAATAATAAAAGTGTACCTGTACGTATAATTATATAGCGGTATGTTATGTCTAGACTAGCCGTATCTACGTAGCTTTCTCGCATTCTTTGTTGTTACTCTGACGATCACATGTACATCACATGGAGTTGGGATGCAGGATGAATGAATGAAAGACTGGTGACCAACCTCCCTACAGTTGCAGCTTGTCATAGAAATCCTACGTTGGACCATGGACCCTAGCCTGGGCGCCTGAGTGAAACTTTGGGAAGATCCAATCTGCCTTGCTCCACCACATGCATACCGAGACAAGGCAATCGACCAATCAACAACCCCGCGCCTTCCCCACTAGTCTCCCGCGGTTTTAGCCGGCGAAGAAGGACGGGAATTAGGATAAACAAATCCGGAAATCTGTGTCCCTGGATAACCTTTTTTTTAAACATTACAGCAGGTTCATATACTCAACGTTGGCAAGAGGTAAATAAACGATATAATTTTTTGTTAATATTATTTAAGTATCTTTTAATCTAAGCAAACTAATTTGAGAGAAACTATAAATTAACAGTTGAACATGCTTGCAAATTATGCAAGTTGCAGTTTCACTGTCTGCATGTGGTGAAGACGTGGTGTTCGTGTGCGGAGTAGTTACATTTTCATTACGCGCGATCATCAATTTGTCAATAACTACGATGGAATGTAATAAAATTCTATCATGGCATGTTTGAAAATTCGAAGTGTGTAAAAGTAACTGGCTTTCAATGATGATAGAGGCCTAGTCTAGATCGACATACATGTACTGTAGATCTATATGTTGTGAACTTGTGACCAAAAGGCAAATGAAACGAACAAGTTCAGTGAAACTCAGCATCCCGAGATTGAGAATTGACTGAGATGCTGATGCTGATGATGTGTTGGATTCGTAGTTGAGAGTGAGACTTTTTGAATCTTGTGAAAGTCGAGTCTTGAAGACTTGAGTGACTTGAGAATTAGAAACATGAGATTAAGAAGATGAATTTCGGCCCAACTGAACTTTAGATCTAGTCTAGTCTAGTCTAGACTCTAGGCCTAGACCTAGACCCTAGTCAAATTTGAAGAAAATTTATTTTTCCGACTTGGTTATTGCTGATGTTGTATTTTCGTGACTTGTTTGTACTTTTTATTATTTTATTTTTTTATATAGAATTCAATAGACCTCATAAGTCAAGTGTTTGTTTTGAAAATGAACAGTCAGAGAAAAAGTTAACTTTAAAGTTTTAAACAAAAGAAGTAATAGACTAGGCCTACCGGTAAACACTTTTTTAACATTTAGGTCTAGAATCTAGACTCTAAAAAAGGCAATGGGCCTAGATCTACACAGTTTTGGGAAATTTTGACAATTGGGTGGATAGATCTAGTGATTCTTTACAATTTTGATAAATTTGGATGCCCCTGTAGATGAATTATAAGCACTAGAAAAATTAGCCCCTGAAACACTTCTGCTTTCGAGAAATATTGAATATGAAAATTTACCGGTTCTCCTGGTAAATTTTGATAAATTTCAATTAGCGCCTACTGCCGTACAATGGTAGCTGCGACCATGAAAATCTCAGAATAAGTAGTCTAGATGTGATATATATAATTTCCAAACGGGAATTGCTAATCGGTCGATTTTGGTCAAGAAACATCATTGTATAGCTTAATTAATATCTTGACCTTGAGAGGGAGCTATACAACATAACGAGTGTATTATTTACAATTTAATAACTTTAGACTCGATTTCTACTGTGACAACGATCAGTGAATATTATAGGATCGCATATGCTTCCAATATGTTGATTTGAACCAAATTCATGACCCCAGGCCATACCAAAACTTTGTATTACCTTTAAAGGTAATATAAAGTTTTGGGAAATTATGAAAATTGGGTGGATAGTGATTCTTTACAATTTGTATATAATCGGATGCCCCTGTGGATGTATTATAAGCACCAAAAATATTAGCCCCTAAAACGCTTTCGAGAAAAATTGAATATAAAAATTTACCGGTGCTCCCGGGAAATGTTGATAAATTTCAAATAGTGCCTACGGCCGTACAATGGTAGCTGCGACCCTGACAATTTCAGAATATGTAGTTGTGATATATACAGTGTAATTACCAAACGGGAATAGCTAATCGGTCGATTTTAGTCAAGATACATGTACATTGTTTCAGGGTTTAATTAATATCTTGACCTTGAGAGGGAGCTACAATGTATACAACATAAATAGTTTCATATTCATAATTTCATAACTTTAGACTCGATTTCAACCGTGACAACAATCACTCAATATAGTAGGCTCACATATGCTTCCAATATGTTCATTTAAACCAAATTCATGACCCCATACCAAAACTTTGTATATTACCTTTAAGGAATGTTTTTCACAGCAGTCAGCAGGAAAGAAACTCAGAATGTAGAATTGGAAAGATGAAAGGTTGAGGGAGGGAGAGAGAAAGACAGAAAAGAAAGTCTGACTACGAGTTTGAGTAGATCTAGACTCTAGTCTATATGAGTATGACAATGAATCTGATTTAATATTTAGAATAATTTGATCTGATACTAATACCATTGCCAATGACATGCAGCAATGATTTGGAGAGGTTTTCAGCCATATTGTTTGCAGATCACAGTCATCTCTAAGACTCTAGTGACATTATGGTCGTGGTTGTGCTTGTGAGTTGTGTCCATTTCAAATTGTTTGCAACTAGGCCTATGCATGTATTCATTTAGACATTAGGTACTGGGTGCCTGGCCTGGCCGGGTCACAGATTATGAGAATATCATTTCTTCACCTGTACTACTAGTTTTGTCTTTGAGAGAGACATGAGTGGCATGAGCAATCCTGTTTGTGATTGGTGGAATAGATGTCATGTGACCTGTGTCTTCCTGTCTGTCTGTCTGGCCGGCCTGGTTGGTTGGGTTTGATATTGCTCTGGTTCTGGTTTGATCATTTGTGCCATTCTGCTGAAGAGAGAGAAAGACGGACAGGAGCGAGTTTTTATCATTCTCTTCTCTAGTTTAGCTTCATTGTGAGTAAGAATATAAATTGCTAAATTGTTTCAACAAGGCGGCTGCCACAATACAATACTCTTTGAATAGGAGCTCTTTTTGGATTTATACATGATCAGATTGTAAATGAGGAACTCTTGATTTAAGTGACAGTTGTTGCTCATATCAAGCTCTTTTCAATTTCAGAGCTCTCTTCAAGATTATCAGAGCTGTTTTGGGGTTTCTCACACTAGCTCTATTTTTTTAAAAGCTCTTTTTGGGGGTATTCAAATTTTCAGTCAGAACTTTCCTACAGTTTTCAAAGCTCTTTTCAAGATAAACTGTTATTCAGAGCACTTTTTAGTTTACCAGATCGTTCTTCAAGTTTTTCATTGAGCTCTTCTCAAGTATCTTCAGAGCTCTTCTAATTCTTCAATTGCTAACCCACGTCCACCTGCATTTTTGCAACAATTTTGTTGATTCAATAATTCAGGGAAAACTCATTTATTTGAGGAGATCCAGGTAAAGAAAAAGAACATCTTTTATTTTAAAATCATTAGTAAAATGAATCTTGTGAGAAATTAATGAAGGGTCTTTTTTTACAAAAATTTTAGCCAATAAGAACTACCCGGTAAGAATATTGAAATGGTACAGAAATTGAAGTATTTGAGTAGCTGTGAGCAAATTGTAAAGATAAATTTGGTTGTATACAAAGGTTTATTAGACAGGGCTTAATGCTTGCTGTGAGCTCAAGAACCAAGTATTCTTGATGTTTTACTGATGACATGTTGCTTGCCAAGTTATTAATACGATTATTTTTTGATTTATTTTCTCCCTGTAGATCCAAGCAAAGATGGAGACTAGTACCAGTTTCTTTGGGACGGGCATGACGACAGCTGATCCCTCGATGGCGACGGGAGACGTTCTATGGATGTTGATCAGTGGGTTCATCATGTCTTTCATGTTGGCTTGTGGTCTAGGAGCTAATGATGTAGCTAACTCCTTTGCTACGTCTGTAGGTGCTAAGGTGCTGACCCTACCATGGGCTTGTGTGTTAGCTTCTATCTTTGAGACGGCTGGGGCGGTGTTGCTTGGTGCCAAGGTGTCGGATACGATCAGGAAAGGTATCTTTGATGTCGGTCTCTATGACGGTCAGGAAGAGGTCTTGATGCTTGGACAAGTGTGTGCCCTTGGAGGTGAGTTCTACATAAAACAAATGTTAATAGAATAAATATTCTGAACCCAGGTTCTGGCCTTTTTGTAAATATTATGTTATTATATAATACTCTCTTTTTATTTAGTGTAAAATACCAAAGCTTTGTATAAATCACAGAAACAATGAGCATTTAATGCTATTTTCTGGTCCGATTTATCCTTTTAATGTGAACAATTCACATTTTATTGTTATATTGATGTACTTTTTGTTTGGATACAAAACTTCAAACATTAATTTGAAAAATGTTTTACCTTTTATACAAAATTGTTTTTTTCTTTGATTGATGTATTAATTTTTTGTTCTGGAAACTGAGGCAGGATTGAACGAAATGAATAGAGGGAGGGGAGAGGGGTCATTGTTAACATTTTGGATTATCCAAGAAACAGTTTTAAATAAAACAACCTTTGGTTATTCTCCATATTCATTAAACCCTCTTTAGAAACCTCTTGTTAACATTGTGTCTTGAAACTCAACGTTGATAAAGAGAGAAAGATGAAATGAATGCTATGCACACTGTACACTTTCAAACTTGTTGACAAGCCTGAATGAATATGTTTGAATATATCATAAACATGTACTTATATTTTTGGGGCCCTTTAGCTCATTACATGAAAAGAAAGACAAGAAGAAAACAGAAGAAAAAAAATGTTGAATACCTTTATATTTTTTATTGTTTGCAAAATGGCTTGAGAAAACGAGATATGCCTATTTGCCATGATTCTAATCAAATTTGATCTTTTCTGTAGTGTTTGTTTTCTTTTTATAATATCATGCGGCTCATATTTATATTTGAGTTGCGTTACTTGCGTAGCCCTGAAATATCAAGGTCACCTTCAGGTTACTTTTTTGTCAAGTTGCAAGTCAGTGATATGGGTATACAGTGAAACCTGTCTATAAAGACCACCACCCAAGGGAGACAAGAAAAGTGGTCTCTTTAGGCAGGTGGTCTTTATGTGTAGGACTGGTACCTATAATAATAAATGATTGAATGAGAAACCATTTTCACAGGAAACAGAAAATATTGTCTTTGTAGACAGGTACATGTACTGTAGTCACTAAAGCTGGTTTGACCGTATTATACACTGTATGTACAGTATAAGGCTGCGACGGGTAGTCGAATGCTCGAGTACCCGCACGGTTGACAACTACTCGGGTACAATTTCTCGTACCCGAATTTTCGGCCGCAAAAAAAATAAATAAAAAAAAATTAAAAAATGTCCAGGCCCACGCTCACCCGTGCCAGGGAGAGCGGCAGCGGCTGGCATGGTACCGTCGGTAAAAATGTTTCCCAACTCGAGCACTGTCAAACTCACCTTTTAGAAACTGGGACCAAATGTCCAGATTTCTGTTTGGACTTGGGAGGAAAATGGATTATTCTGCCATCTTTGGTTTTTAAAACAGCATTGTTTACTGTTATTATTCTTATTAAATCAGCGCCTTCAACTGCAACTCAAAGTAAAATTGCATGCGTTTTTTGGGAGGGACCTGGGAAACTGCCGAGTGGTATGGTAGTGGCAAAAAAAAAAAAAAAATCATAAAATCAAAAAAATTAATTTTTTAAAAAAAAAATTATAAAAAAGCATGGCGTCCGAATATTTGAGTATTCGCTTGTGAGCCTGGGAGTGTACTCGGGTACCTCATTACACTGTTGTGCACAGCCTTAGTACAGTATATGAACAGGAGCATTAGACAGTCCATCTCTCACTGAAACAAATACAAACAGCAATGAGATAAACAACAACAACAACAAAAGGAGAACCCTGGTAAAAGGACAATAACAAATCTGAAATTTGTTTTTAACTTTGGACGTAAAAGAGCACCCACAGACCTGCCACGATTTTCAAAAAAAAAAAAAACATTTTTTTTTTTTTTTTTTTTTTTTAATTTTTTTTTAAAAATTAATATTTTGTGTGTGCGTCCTGGCAAAATGTCCATTCTGTCCTGTAAAGTATCCTACAAGCATCTCACATCGGCAATTTGGGGATGTTTATTGGTTCATCGAACACACCAGTCGTGACGAAATAATGCATATTCAACCAATGATCAATAAAAAAATTCTTCCTGTAGGTAGAAACTGTAAGAGGCATTGATCCGCGTAAAAATCCATGTTTATTTTCAAGAATACAACTTTTGTCAGTAAAATACAACTTTTGACACTAAAGAATACAGTTTTTGAACTCCAGAGGTTGGCAGGTCTGCACCCATGAATGAAAAGTAATTTTTATTTTTGGCTTGCAGGTGCTTGTATTTGGTTGCTGCTAGCTACATGGCTGAAGATGCCAGTCTCTGGAACACACAGCATTGTGGGAGCTATGCTGGGATTTCATCTTGTTGTCTTTCAGTTGGAAGGCATTGCTTGGAAACAATTTGGATTCATTGGTAAGTATTCTTTATCTCCTATCTTAGCCAAGCTACATTAAACAAAGATTGAAATAAAGAGAGAGAGAGGGAGAGGGAGAGGGGGGGGGGGGGGGGGGGGGGGGGGGAGTTGGAGGGGGAAGGGAGAGTTGGAGGGGGAGGGAGAGAGGGGGAGGGAGAGTTAGAAAGAGGGGGTGGGGTGACATAGATGAAGAGATGAAGAGGAAGATTGAGAAATGAAAATGACAAAAAAAAGAGAGAGATAGATTTCATTTTGAGTATTTACTCGAGTTGAAGCAGTAGAAAGATAAAATACCGGTAGACATATATAATAAATAACATAAATAAGTAAAATATTAACAGCAATTAGAATTAGGATGTTGGTTCAATTTCATTGAAACTCATTTAACTTCCAATTTTGAGATTTGTATTCCCTTGACATGATTTCTATTTTGTAATTTATTTTCCTTTCTAGAACTGTCTTTTAACTAAATGGAATTGGATTGTGCAAGATGTACTTTAACAAGAAATTAAATTGTAATTTAGATTCTTTTGTGAAAGGTTGTGAAAAGAACTCCTGTAGATAAAAAAAAGTATATTTTTGAGGTCCAATGGTGTTTGGCATGCATTGATTTTGTGATATGTTTGTATTTATTTATAGTTGGATCTTGGTTCTTATCACCGGTCATGTCTGGTTTCGTATCCAGTATCATCTTTGTCATCTACAGGAAGATTGTTATTGACAAGGTACGTATCATTAGTAATACGATTCGTTATTTGGAAGTATTTGTTTTCTTCTTCAAATCCTACATACAGTGTAATAACCCTAAAGTACTGAGCCTTGCTATAAATCCATCCTATTAAAAGAACCAAAACAAACATAAAAATAAAACAGTAACAAAAATGAAACACCACAAAAACAGACAAGAAATCAACAAAACAAACAAAACAAGCAAACGCACAAAAAGAGAGAGAAAAACAGGTAAGAAAAGAATAGAATACAGGAGGTGCATGAGAGACACTTGAAGAGGTTGAAAGCTTTGGCAAGCTGAGTGAAAAGGAAAATTGATGCAGGTTTGAAGAATTAGCCTCTGTATAATTAACTTGATTGGGATCTGAAACAAACAGTTGATCATTAATTCCATGAGGAATTTGTTTTTCCAAAAAGATTTCATAAGCTGCAGCTCTTAGAATCTTAGAACAGCGTAAGATTTTGTCACATTGCCGGACATGTATACCAGTACTTGAAATTGTCATGGCTATTGTTGTTTTTGCCATTTTCGTCATCACTACCTAACGTTTTGTTGAGCATTTCAAGAAAATAATAAACAGTTAATTAGCTTTTCATAATTTCTTTTTCTTTTCATAACACCCCTCTGTGAAGAAACGACAAAAAAAAAAAATCCCAAATAGGTGCAAAGCATGAATAGTTTGAGATTATCTGGTCTTGAATCTGTTGAATCATGGTTACGTTGTGTAATCTACAAGATGAGAAAGTTATTGTCGTGATTACAACATGCTGTATTGGTGTGTGTGCAGGTTGATTGTATCACATGGCTGTCACATGCAGTAAGAGAGCTGGCGAATATACCAGCTCCTTTTGCTTTCAGTCTGTTCAACCGTGTCCGCGTATGTCTTGGTGAGCTGACTTCAAATCTGCTGTAACAAAGTGACAAAAGCCTGTTAGACTGCGCATCTCTTAATCTTACAATGCACAGACAGATAATTACACAATGGCCTTGCTTAGCATGGGACAGTCACTCACTATTTCTTTTCACCTCTATGTGTTATTGACTTGTTTGTACAATGAGTTTTATATCTCACTGCAGTTTCGTTGAGATTAAACTAGGTTACTGCATCGTGTGTGAACAAAAATTTACTGAAATTAGATTGTGTGGGGAAAGGTGCGCAATCTTCAAGGCCTTGAAGCAGCACTTTTCTTGGAAGAAGAAGAAGGGGTTATTGGTCTCCACAAAATAAAATCAATGTTTTTTAAAGAAATTGTATTTCTTAGAGATCATAGTATGAGTACTTAAATTTTGTTTAATTTGTTACCTCACTGGTACCTCACTGGTAATAAGGAGACAAGTTTGAGTAGAAGATAAACATACACATATACAGATGGTCATATAAAATTTTTCTCTCTGAAGAAATATTTTGATTATGCTAAACTCGTCGCGGATGGGGGGGGGGGGGGGGTTCATCTCATGGGTCCAGATCTCCTACCCTATTTTTTGGTTGTCATTTTGTGAGATTTCCACCTTTTTCTTTGCTTCCTTTCTTTTTTTCTGTTACTTTTTTGTTTGTTTCATACTTTTTCAAAATTGAACCCCCTATCTCTGTTTAATACAATAACCTGAATAACTTTACACCTGTAAAGTGTAGTGACTTGGTATGAATTGAGCAAGTAGTGTTAGGGAGGGTTCATGTAATGGTGAAGCATATCAAATTTGGAATGCTATGACCTTTAAAACAAGATCCATCTTTGTTTACCACTGGAAAGGCCAATCATTTAGTTTACTGCTCCAACCCATGGATCATTAAAGGTACAATGTAATGTCTCTGAACCTTTATGTTTTATAAGCAGTTCAAATATGATGGGAAACAAGTCTGTATGGGGTGACAGTGTTGTTGTGGCCGGTTTTCATCAGACAGAAGTCGCAAAATAACCCGCTATTTTTAACTAGCCCGATCTCAAATTAGCCCGATCTCAAATTAGCCATCAATGTAATTGGCATCTTCATCAGCCTGCAGTTGCAATTAGCGGGCTATTTGGTCGAGAAAATATTCCAAGAAATATTGGTCTTGTTTTCAAAATAGCCCCCTAGTTTGTGATGAGCGTATTGGTCTGGTGAGGACGCAATTTCCCTAATTCCAAGCTCTGGGAAAATATCCTGGGTCTGAAAATAGCGGGTTTAATATTTTGCAACTTTGGTTTGATGAGGACAGGCCTCTAGTTACATGTTCATGATGGCTCTGGTACTGCAGATAAAAGCCTTGTTCAGAGATGCTGATGCAGCAAAACCGCTGCATTTTGTTCTGTTGTGACGTAAAGTGCAATACTCATCACAATCCTGTATTCTATAACACAGAGCCCAGTATGGACCTTTGTTGCCATTCAATTACATGTAAACAAACTGTAGCAGGTTGGGAGGTGGGGGGGGGGGGAACTGCACCATATCTAAAGGAGCCTAATTTGTAATGTTCAGCCCTGATTGCTGTACAGACAGAGTTCTTGTTATTCTCATTGTAAAGCAATTTGTCAGTGTTTCCTTACCCATCGTGGATCATATTTTTGTAAGACATTTAGTTAGATTTTTCTAACACTCTTCAGAAAAATCAACAATGCAACTACTTCTGTGACCATTTCAAATGTGTTTACCTTTAACATACATGTCGCTCATACACAATGGCAGCTTGATGTGAGACTAGGCTATCAACGATACATGTGATGTAATACCTTAGTCACAAGGTCATACAGACGCTAACCAACCAGTAAAATGTACACACTCTTTGCTAATGTCTGAATCATGATAATGCAATTTTTTTTTATTGGTTTATTATCAGTCTGTTATTACTGAGATTGGTATTACAGGCAGCATTACGCCAATGAGAACGATACATGTGTGCATTGAGAAGGGAATTCATATGATGGGTTTGTGACGTTTTGTGTAGAGGTCGGGGCTCATATTCGTGTGCCTTGCTTTACTAAGCCTGGCTGTCGAATAAGCTTGTACTATATGTACATGTATAAGCTTTGTAATTTGTTGACAACTACATGTAGCTCAGCAAAGTTCTAAGTATATGGGCCATGGTGGAAAAGTTGAAAGATAAATCCTTAGGCAAGTCTGAATAAACAACTTTTCAAAATTTATCAGGGCTCAGTACTACTTGACTGTTACTTTCTTTTTTAATAGGGGGTCTGAAAAAAGGTAGGGTTTGTGAGCTTGTGCTCCCTTCAAAAATGTCAACTAAACGAGTTGATAGTTGAACTTCTGAAGCATATTAGGGGTCTGAATTCCACATTATGGGGTCATGGGTTTAATACAGACCCATGTAATTGTTGAGCTTCTGCTTCAAACTTGATAACAGATTCAAACTATCTTGACCTTATATACCGGGCATGGTGGCTCAGTGGTTAGAGCGCCCGCCTCATGAACAGGAGGTCTTGGGTTCGAATCCCGGCCGAGTCATACCAAAGACTTATAACAATGGGACCTTCTGCCTTCTAGCTAGGTGCTCAGCATATTAGATTGGAGAAGGGTAGTAATAACATATTATGTTATGCAGGGTCCGCTGGAAGAGCAGTTTCATAACTGAAGTGGCTACCCTGGGTAAATAAAACATTATTATTATATTATTTCTCACAAAATGGAATTCAATCACTCTCAAAGTAAGCTTTAAGCCTGAATACAAAACTTTAGAACTACTTTAATATGATTTTGTGTTTAAATGATTGTTTAACTTGATTTGATTACAGGAGAATCCCCTTGAGCCTGGTCTGAGAGTTCTTCCGTTCTTCTATGCTCTTGTTCTCATCCTCAACTGTATATCAATCTTCATTGATGGACCTGAAAGTAAGTTGGTCTTGTTCTAGTCAGTGACCGTAGATCATTACAGCCTTCAAGGGATCCGGTAACTTTGTCTCAGATTCTCAAACAAATCCTTGATTTAGCTCATGCTGCAATGATAATTATAAACCTTTAGGTCAGTCAGGCACCCCACGACTTTTACGAGCCTGTTTGATTATCAAGATATTTATGATTGAAAAACCGAAATCAAATTTTGCGTTTGCCAAACAGCTTTCATAACACTACAGTCTATTGGGGAAAACGAGTATGGTAAAACAGGTCACTAAAAGATTTTTTACTTTTTTGAGGCACTTCTTGATCATTTTGAAGCACAATTTTCTTTGGGCTTAATATTCAACCATATTACAGACACTGATAACACGTACATGTAGGGCCGCGTATCTCAGATTTATCGTTGTTAAACGATTCCTTTAAAGGTCCTTTAAATGTCCCATTTGCAGGTCAAACAAAATAAAAAGGTTAAATTCCAACAGCAATTGAAAGACAATAGTTATTTAGAACTTACCTCAAAACGAAAGCATTTGAAAATGGCTTTTAGTCGGAAAATAACGACCATTAGTTGTCAAATCTACTAAAGTGATTGCGATCACCTAAGTAATAGTCTGAATTTCAGACCATTGTACCGCATGGTCGTACGTTATGTGCTGCACAAAGATTCAGTCAGTTTAATTTTGGCCATCACAAGAAGTGGGTTATTGATGTAGACAAATGCTCATGTACCCTTTACAACTCATTTCATGTACATGTATGTTATTACCAAAGGAAAACAAATGTCAGTCAGTCACTCAATAGTGTCTGACAGCAAAGTCTAGAATATAAACGGGTTTCCTTGCATAATTTGAATACTAGGACACTGCTAATGTTAAAATTTCACAGATAGGATTACAGTTAATTGTAAAAAAGGAATTATGAACAAAGCTTGTTATGCAGTTTGTTTGGTTCCATCACAATCATGGAACATAATTATTTTGTTTTCTGTTTTTGTTTCCAGTGCTGTATCTTCATGTCATCCCAGTATGGGGGGTCATGATTCTGAGTTTTGGAGTTGGTATCATAACTGGTCTTATCGTCTTCTTCTTCTTGGTACCAAGGTGGAGGAAACAACTTCAAGGTACAGTTTGTAACAGCTTCGAGACGTATTATTTTAATCTTTTGATCCAGAATGTTCTTAATTGTACATGAATCACTGTAGTAAGATTTGAGTCTATTTCTGTTGTAGTACATTTTGCCATTCATGAATAAAAGCAATTTAATAAAAACAAAAAATGATCATTGAAGTCTGTAAATTGGCAATGCAGAGAGAGTGATTATTGTAATCCCTTTTTTCATGTACCAATTCAATTGGCAATTTGTTGATTTTTTGAAATTCTCATTTTTAAACATTTTATGTTTTTAAACAATGATAGATGTAAATTACAGATTTTTGTTGCCAATGTTGAGGAGGAAGAGCCAACCTTTAGACAGCTCTATGGGTTAGAACTTATCTAACATTCTGCAGTGTGAGTTTGGACTTAGATCTATAAATTAAAAGGTTTATTGATAAAAAGCAAACATTTTTGCCTCGAAGCTTAAATTGCAATAATTCTACAATGATCAAAGTCTGTACTATAATTGGTATTCAGACGTGACAAAAGAGCTAATGATCAAGTTATATTTTGTATCATATATGTCTCAATTTTTTTAATTTCTATGTTATTCAGGCGTGACTAAAATAATTAATGAACAAGCAATACTTTGTATCAACCCGGTATGTCTCGATAATGTTGATCATGTTTTATTTCTATGGTAAGCAGACGTGACTAAAAGAACTTTAATAAACAAATAATATTTTGTAACATATGTCTCGATATGTTTTATCCATATTCTGCTATGTGCCTTACCTATATCCTTGTTATTCTCTTCTTTTTGTATATATTGTGTACAAACAAAAGCCAGTTCAGCACAGTTCAACAGATAATTGTTGACATCACATCACGTCCCAAATAAGCCAATCAAATTGGATGACTGCTGCTCAGATGATTTTATGTATCACTATAAACTCTATAAAAAAAAAAATACACATTCTAATAGATGTAACATAAGAAATCTTTGGAACATAAAGATGCTCTTATTTTAGAGGAAGGTGACATTGTGTGACACGAAAGCAAGTACATGTAGATGTCATTGGCCTAACCCACTTACAAACATACAGGGCTCTCTTTCAGCCACCATTGAACAGTATATATTATCTACAAAAAAATTCTGAAATTTTCCATTAAAGGGATCTGGTAACTTTGTCTCAGATTCTGAAATAAAATTCTAGATTTAGCTCATGCTGCAAGTATAATTATAAACCTTTAGGTAAGTCAGGAACCCCACAACTTTTACAAGCCGATCGCCTGTCTGATTATCAAGATATTTATGATTGTAATTTCAAATTTTGAAAACCGTTCGCTGAACGGTTTTCATAACACTACAGTCTATTGGAGAAAACGAGTATGGTAAAACCAGTCACTCAAAGATTTTTACTTTTTTGAGGCACTTCTTGATCATTTTGAAGCGCAATTTTTTTAGGGCTTCAATATTACACCATATTTGAGACAATGATAACATGTAGGGCCGTGTATCTCAGATTTAACATTGTTAAACGATCCCTTTAAAGCATGCTTGTGTCTTGATGCTACTTTTGTTTTGTTTAGTAGGTAGTGATGTATTTGCCCTGTGAAAAGAGGGATTCTGTGTCGCTTGAATCTCCTGCAGTATTGTATGTTTTTCACCTAATGTATATTGATGATTATTTCTTTATGTAGTTTTATCCGAGACATCAACGTATACGCGCAGTGATGACCTACAGGAGGTCAAAATGGACACAGATGTTAAAAGTAAGTCTCACAAGGGTTTAACTTTCTTTTAAAATGAATACAAAATTAAACCAGAGGTGTGAGCAGTTTCACTCTGAAAAGTTTTAAACTACCTCTGACATAGCTCCGGAAGTCTCAACAAGAGCTTTAGAACTTATGACCCCAAAAAAGGAAGAAAAAAGAAAGAAAAACCACATCAAATTTGAAAGGGAATCTCATTTTCATGCAGCAAAATAACCAACAAACCACTAGTATTTGTTAGTATTAGCATCAGTTTGTACTGTAGCTTAGACCCCAAACCAGTCTCAAGCTTTAATCTGTTTTCATTTGTTTTATGTAAAGACTTTCAAGTGTTAATCTTGTTTGTCTCTGCATGTAGACCACTTCAAAGTAGGTGTTTACTTAACCCTAATAGGGCCGGGCTATTTGAAGTCTTAGTAGGGCCGGGGGGGGCCATTATGGCCCCCCCCCTTAAGATCTCGGCCGCGAAGCGGCCGATCGCCGCGAAAATTTGCATGCATGTCAAGTAAAGTGTAAAGAATAATATGATAATTTCAATTTTTTGAAAAATTCACTCATTTGCATATGTATGGTAATTTATGCAAATAAAGTCATAAAAATCACATTTTTACCCATAAATCATATATTATTCATATTTAAGCATTCTTTTTCACTAGATATATTCATTAGACCATTCTGAATAATAATACGACAAAAAATTTGGAAGAGCCAGCTTATTTCTTATGTTATCCCTTGTTTTGATAATTTCTTATGTATTTCATTGTTTTTTTAACTTATGTATTTCATTGTTTTTGTTGTTTTATTTCATCTTTTACTACAATTCAACTATTTTGACTCCCAAAAAAACCACCTAAACTTTAATCAAGACCCAATAACCCATGTTTGATCTGTTTTTAGGAAAAATGACTTTTCCATACGTTTTGTACACAAATCACGAAAATGAGCGATTTTCAGGCTGACATGCAAGGACAAAAGGTCACGTGACCTTGTAACCGTAGGTCCGATTTTCAAAAAAATTATTTTAAAAGTTGCGCAAGGCTTGAAAGAAAAAAGTCAGCGAGCGGCGGGGCGCCATCCACATGCGTTCCTGAGCAATCAGAAAAATTGTGGAGGGGGGGGGGGCCATAATGGCCCCCCCCCCCCCCCCCCCCCCCCCCCGGCCTTATTAGGGTTAAAGCCTATAGATCTGCACTAGTTTGGCCAGGAGGAATTAGACCTTCCTGGCAAGTGGTTATCTCTTCAAATCAGCTCTCAATTAACATAAGAAAAAGGGGACCATGGGGGTCCAATGGGTACCGCTTAGGCATTGTTGGCTATATAGAGGGGGCAAGTAGAAAAAAGTAGTGTCGTCCCCCTTTGAAATCAACATTGGAAAGATATGATTAGAGTTTGCTATCATAGAGCGAGTGAGTCATGAAATAAGGATCACATTTATTTTATAGTAAGAGGTGTTTTTTGTCACTCTTGCAATAAATGATCCAACTTCAACCTACATGTACATGTATATTTATGACAATGTCTAGGTATGAGATTATTATTACCTAAACATGCTCTACTAAACCATAGTTTTACGAGGTTAAAGACCTGTGCCGTCATCGTAACTGCTGCAAATATGACCCCTGTTGACCCCTAATTTGAAGGGGTTAGGAAGTTGTGGGTTTAATTTGCTTTTGTGCTATAATGAAAGGGTAAAAAAAATTATTCCTTTATATTTGTATTCTACATTCATTCAGTTTTCCATTCATATCAAGTTGTATTTTCATCAGACATAGGATCTTTAAGTTTATCAAGGTAGCAGATGGTAATACATGTGAAGATCCCCTCAGACAATATAAGCACTTCAAGAAGCTTCAAGAAACATAAGGCGCGTCTTCATCATCTCCAGATTGCCAATTAGCCCGCTATTTCTGATTTGGGAAATAATCCCGAAGTTACAAATTGCGTCTTCATCAGTTCGAGATTCGACCTTGAAACTCGACCTTGAGAAATTAGCTTGAGATGTTTGCTATTTCTGCTTTGGGAAATAATCCCGAAGTTACAAATTGCGTCTTCATCAGTTCGAGCTTCGACCTCGAAACTTGAAACTCGACCTTGAGAAATTAGCTCGAGATATTTTGCTCAGCGATTGCGCAAAGTGCAAGTCTTCGGTCTGGTGAAGACGCACAGGACAAATAGCGGGATATTTTGCCAAATAGTGGATATTTTGCAAACTATCCCATGATATCTTGAGATGACAATCCCAACCAAATATCCTGCTAATTGCAACCTTGGTCTGATGAAGACGCAAATTAGCTGGATAGTTTGCGATCGGGATAGTTCAAATAGCGGGATATTTGGCAATCTCGAGCTAGTGAAAACAGGCCTATAGATTGATCGTTAAGACTTCAAAGAGATTCTGCTTACAGATTGCTGCTTTAATTATTTGTTTGTAGGTAGACACTTATCAGTTCCAAAGAACAAGCCTCTTTGTGTGCTTTGTAAGCTTACTGGGATTTGTTGATATAGACTTGAATGTAAATGATAATGATTAGTCTAGTCCTGTGATAACAGACTGGTATAAACACATCGTTTTTCTATTAGTAATACTCAAACAAGTTTAAAGAAAGGTGGAGAAGAAAAGAAAAAAAGAGAGCATATTGCTGTTCACCTTATAAATGCTTTAAATGGCTACTTTCTAAACAATATTTCTGCTGATTGGGGGTTTGAATGGGTTGAAACTCTGAACATAAAATGTCCTTGCAAATTATGAAGCAGATTTTTATCTTGATTAGCTAGATTACACATGAAAGATGTGTAATTTTTGTTGAGATATATATATATATCTTAATACAAACAGATATAGTGATATGCTAAGGGTTGTTTTGTTGATATATCTTAAAACAAACGGGTGAAGTGATTATGCTATTAAGGGTTGTTGTGTGTACATCTAATTCTTTTTTCTTTCCCCACTTGTTTGTTTACCGGTAGTTTCATGTAAAATGGACTTATTTTGCTGCAATATTTTGTTATTTACTTATTTATTCATTTATATATTTTATTTATTTATATATTTTTATTATTATTATTATTATTTGTATTATTATTATTATTATTTGTATTATTATTATTATTATTTTTATATATTTTATTTATTTATATATTTTTATTATTATTATTATTTGTATTATTATTATTATTATTTTTTACTGTGTATGAGGATTTATTGTGTAATGGTATATGAGTTTGGTGACACAGGAAAGTGACAAATCTAAGTTTGTTTGGTAAACTCTCTTTGTGATCTTTTCTTTGGTGTAGTACCTCTGTCAGATGAAGGTATTGATGTTTGTTTGGTTAACTCTTCTTGTCCTTTTCTTTGTTGTAGTACCCCTGTCAGATGAAGGTATTGATGTTGAGATAGTGGATGGGAAGATGAAGGAAGAGAATGAAGCTGCTGTTCCAGTGGAGCAAGATAGTATGATTAGTTCAGGTGAGTCTTCTCATTGTGTAGAGCTAGGATGGTGTTTATTCCAGGCATGTTCATTTTCCTATTTATATCGGTTCCTGATTTTTGTTATGCCTCCGCTACAAAGTAGCCGGATCAAAGTATTGGGTCAAAGTATTTAATACATGGAGTGTTAGGTGTTGTGGGGTCAATATGACTGTTATAATATCTCTTGATGGGTACAGCTAGGCAGCAAATTGTATTTTTTCTAATTGCATGACTAGTGATCAACCTCGGTATCATTAATTCTTGTCGTGTCTGTTTTAGGTCCTTCGTCAATGACCAGCTCGCCTGATACCAAGCACTGCACTCGCTTTGGAAAGCTCAATACTGGCAAATGGAAGCGGTTGCTAAGCAAAGATTCTACTGAAGGAGAGAGTAGGCAAGAATCAGAAGCCTGGAAGAGTGTGAAAGACCATCCGGTGGTTGCTAAGCTATGCACTCCTCTACAGATCTTATCCGCCATCTTTGCTGCATTCGCACATGGTGGCAACGATGTTAGGTAACTATCAAATCATTATAGTTATGATGAAATGTCTGTCTGTCATCTAGTTTACTAAGCTGTATTTGCCTCATTTGCACATGAAATGATGTTAGGTAACAAATGATTAAAGGATTCTTTTTCAAATATCCAGATACCGTAGAAAAAAACAAACACTTGAGGGAAAATGCACACAAAACACAGATGGCATATTTGTCTTAAAATTAGCTCTTCAGATCAGTTTAACGAGCCATTGTCAAGTGATTGAAATAAACAATTTCTCTGCATTCTTCATAGAGTTTTATCTTAAGGTTTATACAATTTTTGTGTAAAAAATGTAATGAAATAGTGAAAGTTAAAAAAACAGTAGTCCATGGGGGTGTTTTACAAAGACTAAAATCAACTTCAGGTTACACTTGACTATGGCAGGCCATTCATGCCGCTGTTTGCTCTCACCATAATCTTTGGATAAAATTTTTTCCTTCAATAATGAATCATCAAAAGACATAATTTCTGTAGATCTGTGACCATGATTGGTACGTTCCTTGAAAGAAAAATACCAGGAAATGGTGAGAGCAAAAAGTAGTCTTTGTGAAACGCTCCCCATATTGAAGATGAGTGATTTGTTTTGTCCTTTGCAAGTTGTTGCTTTGAGCACGTATGATTTTATTCTCCCTTGTATCTTGCAGCAATGCCATTGGTCCCTTGGTAGCATTGTGGACTATCTATGCGAACGGTAACGTAGACCAGAAGTCTGGAACACCTATATGGATCCTGGTCTACGGGGGTGCAGGGATTACCATTGGTCTATGGTTGCTAGGACGGAGGGTCATTGAGACTGTAGGATCTAACCTTACACCTATAACACCATCAAGGTAACCGTAGCAACTGTTTTATCTGTTTCCTGTAAGCTTAACTGCAAATTGTCGGGTTTGGCAGTATTCCAACCCAAATCCATTAGAGGCATATATCAAGGATGCCAATTTTCCGGCAATTGCCGGAATTCCGGCTTTTTTATGTTTTGGGTGTCAAATTCAGGCCTTTTAAATTTCTTTCTACCCTTCTCTTCAACTTGGAAGAGCATCAGATGTGTGTGTGTGTGTGTGTGTGTAATTGGGTTTACAGATATAGACGTGTATCAATCAGACGTGATATGAACCAGAAAAAAAACAGGAATAGCTAGCGTGCAGCAAGCTGAATCTAAGCGAATTCTATGCACAGCTAGTATAAGCTGTGTTTGAATGTTCATCACCGCTAATGGGACTTAAGATTTTGTGGACACTTATTGTTAGTTATTGTGCATAAACCAACTGTGAATGTTTATTTGGATTAACCTGAACTATTGTCTGTGGGACATTTAGAAACATTGTTTTTGATTGTACGACTACATTTCGGCATTCAGAGTTCAGTACACATGCCAATTTATTTGGAGATCAAAATTTGTTTGTGTTGTAATGCATGCATAGCCTAGCGGTTATTTCTTTACTCTTCCTTCCTGAGAGTGTATGATAATCAATATATTGACTTTGTATCGTTTTGTTTTGATTGCAGTGGGTTTAGTATAGAGCTAGGAGCCGCTGCTACTGTTCTGCTAGCATCTAACATTGGTATACCTATCAGCACAACCCACTGCAAGGTAGGATCAGTCGTAGCTATCGGGAAGGTGAGATCTGCAGCGACGGTGCAATGGCGTCTGTTTATAAACATCATCATCGCATGGATAGTGACTGTTCCTGCTACAGCTGCCATTAGTGCAGCGCTCATGGCAGGCCTACTAAGAGTCTTATAATGATACGTCAATCCTAGACTATAGATCCAGGTCTAGACCGTGATCTGGATTGAACTACCACTGCTGGCCAGCTTACATCGAGAGTCTTATATTGATACATTACACATCAGTGGCTACACAATGGATCCAGGTCTACTTCTGGAGTAGTAGACCCTGTCTTGGATTTTAACTGGTCCTACGACTTCTTGACAGACTGTGTGCTGCCCTTCTGTGCTGCTTTCTCAGTGTTTTACAATGATACACCAAACATCACAGAGACACAATGGATCGAGTGATGGCCTACTGAAGAAGGTCTGGACTCTATAAGTCCAGACCTCACAGTGATAGGCTTTAGTTTATGTGGGCTTTTTCAGATCCAGGATCTAGGATCACAGGTTCAATGTGGACGATGGACTTTGTGTGCGTCTTGCTCAACTTACCTGACAGTGTTGGTAGAGGGATTGAGATTGCATCTGATGGCTGAAGATGTATTGAATTACTTGACCCTTTTCCATCCTGACACTTGTCCTTAATAACCCCTTGTATGCCACCAAGTTTCCCATTCCCAAATGAGTCTTCCCTGTTGACTTGTAATGATTGTTTCATTGTTAAATTGGCCATTAATATCTTCTATTTTTAAAGATAGGATTGTTGTGTAGTGCTTTATTCAATTGAATTTCAGATTACCTGTGAGTTCAAACACTTGCCTGCCTCCAAAAGGATACAATTTTAATTTTATTTGTTTCTATCCAAGCTGGATGTATTTTAACTAGGAAGAATTCATTCATGCAGCACCATAATTACATCTAGCTTAAGTTAAAGCTATTTGGAAGCGTCTAGGTAGTCACTAACAGATGTTAACTTAATAGAAACCTGTCTATTACTCTCCTACATGTATGTGGTCATTCAAGGTTTAAATGTGTTAATCTTGACTACTTCTTTTAATGTTTGGACGTGTCTTCTATGTTTTTTAGGTTTTATACTGGCCTGTCTGAAACTACTATGCTGCAACTAAAGTTTGACTTGCTGGTTTTTTTGCTGCCATTTTGAATGTATAGAAAACAAACCCAAGATTGTATATTTTGAAGCGTTTACAGGAAAGATTATGTGCTACGTGTATATTAAGAGGCCTGAGAATTATTTTTGTTAATGGCTCGTCCAGTTTTGAATGATTCATTCCCTAATTGATCTCCTGAAGTCTGTATGGATAAGGTATGGCTGACTGTTACAGGTGCTGTGACACCAATCAAAGCTATTGAATTGAATTAAAAAGGCTTTTTGATAAAATATTCAAAGTCAAAGCTGATACATCTTTAATTTACAAATAAAAATGCAACATTTAAGATACATGCAAAGAGCATGATGCAAAATAGGCAAATACAAAATTTAGACATTCAGTAGTGAAATTGATATGAAAGGAGTAGAATGAAAAAGGAACAGAAAATGAAAGAAAAGAAATGAAAAAAGAATAAAAGGAAGGACACATGGTTGATAGTGAAGTAAGAGTTTACAATTAATATTTTTGTAAGACCAGTTATAAAATTCTGTAAACGAGTACAAATTCAGAAATGAAACCGATTTAGACCAGTGTAACAAATTTAGACACCTTTTTAATTAACGAAATAGCCTTGTCAATAAAAGCTTTGAAATTCAGTTTTCAGTAGGACTACTGTATCGTAATGTATGGCCTGTTCAATCTCACATTTAGGAGACCAATTTTAGAATGATGTCAACTGGCAATTTTGGCTGAGAAATACACATGTACTGTAGATACATTGTAGTTATGGTATAAAAAGTTGACTAAAAAATAATTTATGTTTGTTGTAAGTTTGTAGATTTCAAAGCTCAGTTTTGACCATAGATGTAACACCTGATAACGAAATGAACCTCAAGTTTTCATGTATATAATGGCTGACTGAAAAGTGATTGTAAATAATAGATATATTTGTATTCTAGATACAATACGATGTAAGCCCTGTTTTGGACAAGTAAGATGAGATGTGGATTTATAAGTTGTGAGCTTTTGTAAAAAGCTTTGGGCAAGTATTGAATCCAATGACCGGGGTAATAGTATATCTGTAAAGCGCTTCGAGACATTTGTATTGAAGCGCTATAAAAAGCAGAATATTATATTATTTGGTAAAATCAAGACAGGAATTTGTGCTGTTAGATACTCCACTGTCTTCAAAATATGATTTAACATGCATAGAAAAGGGGAAATTAGTTGAGGGGGGGGGGGGGGGGCATACTTTTCTTTCAACCCTGCACAACCCCTTGAAGCCCCTCTGCACTACTTATACCTACTTGCGCCCTCTATATAGCAGTCAATGCCTAAGCGCTGACCATTGGTCCCCCATGCTCCTCTCTTTCTTACGTTAATTGAGAGCGGATTTTATGACATAGCCACCTGTCACAGTCAGTGACCACCCTGGGAGGTCTAATCCCTCCTGGCCAAACCAGTGCAGAGGGGCTTTAAATAAACTCCCCTGGTTGAGGATGATTTACATGGGGATTAGTTTACTAACTGGAAATAAACCAATGATACCTCACCGTACCATTCTGTGGAACGTCTGTCTGTGTTAAGTGTGATAATGTATATGGTATGATTGTGATATTCAATACAATCCTTCCAAAAGAATTGGATAACAGACTTTATTTTTACTTTGTTAGTAGTTTAGTTAGTTGCATGTGGATTGATTTTTGTGCAGTTTATTTGTACATTTTTTTTATGATAAGCATGATGCGGTAAGAAGGAACTTCATTGTTTCAAATTTCTTTGATTTTATACTTTTAGTAGATAACTATCAAACATTATAATTCTATTATGCTGCAGAGCTTTTTTCTTCTTCTTGGTATGGGATGAAAATAACTGTTTTAATTTCTTCATTGTATTATGTTTTACATTGATTAATATATTGCCTATGAGAATCACACTATTACTGTGACCTTTGACCTTTGACCTTTACAGTGCACATTGCCATGGACATGCTGTACTTGGCACATTATGTATTACATCATATATACCCTGCCGCTGCGCCTCATGAGATGCATTTACATAAATACATGTATATTTTGTGATGATTTGAGACAACAGGCAATCTTTTGTACATTCCTACAGCTGTGATCAAACACGATGCGGTAAATCGCCTCATAAGAATAAAAACGTGATGGGTAATGAAATGGCATTTATAGGGCTTGAGGAAAATGGTGCGTGAAAAGGTCCACAAGTACCCACTTAAGTTTGTTTCATATGATACAAGAATGTCTAGTGCTCCTTGGCTTATATCTCATTTTATTGTGCTGATGTGCAGGGAATAATTTTCCTGGTATCGCATCGCAATTTGCTATGCATTTTTGCATGACTGCTATACAAAATATCATTTGTGTAGCAGTTTTCTTCCATAGAAATGTACAGAATTTCATTTGAAATATTTATCCATCGGCTGAAATTGCTAATCAAAAAATTTGAGGAAAATTATTCCCTGATGTGTTACTATGTTCGTTCATTTGCTTTATTTTCAGGTGGTTAATGGTATTATGTGTGAATGAGGCTCGATGAGGACTGTCCCTCCATTGTATATATAACATGTATGTACATGGGATTCTCAAGAATTGAGAGATTCTAGCTGATTACCAAATATTTGATCAGTCCATGAAATATTCTAATGAAATACTGATATAGGAATGAATATAGTACTATGCATCAAGTACTATGTTTTTATCTGTATGTCTATGAGAAGTCATATGCTAAAGTCATGTGTTGTTTTAATAAGGACAGTTCTGAATCTGTTTGTTTTTTTAGTTACCAAATTATTTGAATTTGAATGAAGGTAATTGCCAGTTGTACAACATTATGGTTTACATGTTCAATCACCATAGCTCTTGATAGCCCAGACATAGCATTACATAGCATTACACCAAGCAGTATAGATAGGATGAGAAATGGATGGAAGAGAACAAATGTGTTGTTGACTCCTTCAAGTACAGGCTTATCTTCTTGGTACAGTATTACCGTGTGTATATCCATCTTGTATATAATGCAGCATGAGAGCTTTCTATAAATAAAGTTGTTTTGACGGACCATTTGATGAGTTGAGCAACCCATTCGGGTACTGTACATTCTATGGTGAATTGAACAATTTCAATAAGTTTGTAAAGAGCAGATCAAAATACTGGTAATTTTACTGTTGGTGGTCACTGTCTTCGCGCAAGCAATCAGACCAGTTAATGTACCGTCATTTGAAGAATGTTTTTTCTTCTTGAGTAATCAGTATTACTTCACTGAATGCAGCATTACTGCTTTGATTCATACCTCGTCACACAATCATCATTTAGTGTAAACTTTTTATTTTGTCTAGAGCCCATGACACACTATACGATCTAACTGGGATCCAATTTGTGAAGAAATTGCAAGATATTAGGTAAATAGATAATGTATCTTTCTGATTGGGTTCGGTTGTAGAGATATGAGCACTTACTTTGACAATAGGGACTTTTAGATTTGCGTGGACCGATACGTGTGACGTCCATTCAAGGCAGTGCATTAAAAGGACGTCGATCGTAGCAATCCCCATTGTCTTTGTGCGAATCTAAAAGTCCCTATTATCGTCCCTATTGGGTATTGTCTTCCTTTCAGCTTAAGGAGAGACCAATTAGGGACTACACCCTGTAGGTACTCTGACATCACACAGATGTGCAGGTGATATTAGACCTCACCAGATATCCCACATTATCATGCAAGAATGGTTGTGCTATTCTATTTCTATCTGAAGCTAATCCTTGAATCAGAGAATTTACCTATTAATAAGGTAAAATCTAATTGCAATTGTTCATTTGATCACGTCATTTGATGACGTCATGGGATCGCAGTTAGATTGTATAGTGTGTAGTGGACTTGTTGTACAGAGAGTTTTATATGAATTGATGATGCATGCTTCTATCACAGAAAATAAAAATCTGTTTCATACAACCAACTCTAGTTTACTCTTTATGTGACTGTCTACTTATTTATTCGATTAGGAGGAGTGAATCACATTTTCTTTGTAATTTTTTTTAATTGCTATATTGATAATATTTGACAAATTGCTTGGGTCAATGAAATTTCCCTTATTTTAATTTTATTTTTTAAGCAATATATTGCAGGATCTGATGTTTTTATCAAAGCAGATAAAAACTGAAATACTGAATTGAATATGTCAATGCTCTAATTGAAATACATGTATTATTATATCAATGTACAAAAACAAAACAAATTTAAAAACATGAAGAGAAAACAATGCAAAGAACTGGGACCAGTGAAACCACCTTGTTATAATGACAGCTAGTCACAATAGTATTCTCTAGGATTCTGTTTAATTCAATTCTCGAGTCATTTTTAATATTCACATTTTAATAAAAAGAACAATGGTAGTGACAATAGCATATATGTTGAAGACAAAAATAAAAACAGAATCAAATTCAAATACGGGTTGGATTTGCGAAGGCGACAGGCCTTATCAATGGCAAACCCCATTATCCCCCAACAAATGAATAATATAAAACAGAAAAAGAAACAAAAAACAGCATTACAAATTTCTAAAAGGCAAAAGAACTAGCTATCAAATGGGATTCAAACCATAAATGACATTATAAATTAGTTGAAATTAGGTATTGATAAGACAAATTTATATTTTCTTTTAAAATTGCAAGTGAGGGACAAGATTTTATTTTATTCCTTAAGGAATTGCATAATGTGTGCATCATATTGAATTGTAGATCTTGAGAATTCATACTTGAACTTTGGTAAATGAAAATCTTCTGATTGTCTAGTGTTGTAACTACTAAGGAATCTGTTTTTATGAAGAAATTATTATTAAATGAGGGTAGTAACTTATGAATAAAAGGAGAGGCAAAATTGTGATGCTGGAACTAGTGAAGGATGCCGCTTCGCAGCGAGAAATGGAGTGTTTTAACGAGTCTGGAATCGTAGACTATGACTAGTAAAACAATAGGAGCATCTAAAGAACAACAAAGCGTGAACTGTAGCGTTTGTGCACGTGGCACACCATAGCTTATATCAAGTCTTTGAAGATATATTGTGGAATTTCTGGCTCATTGTTTAATCCTTAATTGATGTTATTTGCTATAAAAAAATATATATATTTTTATACTTTAAAATATCTTCATAGCGAAATTTATACATAACTATTTATATTTGATGCAAAATAATAACTAAATATTTAGTATTAATCAACCTGGTTGTACCCAAGACTATTTTCTTTTGCTGTATACTACATGTTTGTTGACCCGACAAGGATAGCATACGAAGAGCGGCACTAGAGGTCGGGGCGTGGCCGAGTCAAAGGATACGTCACACTTCATGCATATTCATTATACAGCGCGCGCGTAATACAAACGCGACATAATGCTAGTCATAATGCCAGTGCGGCATGCATGTACTTCTCAGTTCCTCATTCGACCAAATACAATGAAAACGATTACCGGTGCTCTCAAATTTAGCCATATTTTGTCGTAAAATAATGTTCCGCTTGTGATTCATTCATTCATTCATTCATTTCGGTTTATTGTGTCAAATTCAATGTTAAAACAGTCGGCGACTGATACAAACAAAGATTACAAAGTTCACAGAAATAAAGAGAAATTACAAATAATCATGTACATCAATATGGAACGATCACATATTAGTTTAAAGAATAAATTAACAATGATGATAATGGTAACTTCAGTATATTGCAAAGATTACAAAGTTCAATAAAGAGAAATTACAAATACATGTACATTAATATGGAAACGATCACATATTAGTTCAA